GTAGGTGAAACACCCACACTTGCCCCCACCCTCATTCGCCCCACTCTGGGCCCATGAGCAAGGCCCTTAACCCCCACCATGTGCTCCCTAAAAAAACAGGTCTCTCTTGAAAATTAGTTCTCGTGGCTCAATGAGACTAACCTGGATAAATAAAGGCTAAATGAAAAAAAATATATATATCATCCGATTTCACAGCTCAAAGTGGACTACAAAATTTGAGCTAAAATCTTGGCAATTTGACTGGAGCAGATTTTACAACAAATAATAACTGCTGACCAGACAGGGTTTATCAAAGTGAGGTATTTTAGTGCTAATGTCAGAAGATTGCTTAACATTGTCCATATATCAGAAAGAGAGAGCAATGAATTAGTTGTTTCTCTGGATGCACAGAAAGCTTTTGACCGGGTTGAGTGGGAGTTTCTGTTTGCTACATTTAAGAAATTTGGTTTTCAAGATTGTCTTATTTCTCAGATAAAGCTACTGTACACCAATCTGTTTGCAACAGTTATAACTAATGGACAGCAGTCTGATTATTTCCCACTCAGCAGAGGCACGTGCCAAGGCTGCCCTTTGTCGCCCCTCCTGTTCACTCTGGTTATAGAGCCCTTGACCATCGCTTTAAGGCAGTCTGCAGACTTTCATAGAATTAAAAGAGGAGGATTATGTCATAAGCTCTCTTTATATGCACATGATTTACTACTTTGTGTCTGATCCACAATCTTCTATTCCTCACATTGTTGATTATTTGGACCAGTTTGGAAAAATATCAGGGTTTAAGGTCAATATAGGTAAAAGCATAATATTTCCTTTGAGACAAGAAGATATCTCACCTTTTCTGTATACTTTTCCATTTAAAATAGCCAAAGCCTCCTTTAAATACCTTGAGGTAGAAGTGACACACAGCTTTCCCTCACTCTTTACTAAAAATTTTAAAGTTGTACTAGAAAAATGTACACAAGATCTAAATCGGTGGAAGGATCTTCCTTTATCCATAGCTGGCAAGGTCTATGTGGTTAAAATGAATGTGTTGCCTAAATGTTTATGGCTCTTCCAGAACATTCCCTATTTTTATTTGGAAATCCTTCTCACTTATTATTGGGCTTGTAACATACAAAAAAATACTTCACTGGGTCCATTTTGATTCTGATGCTTTAAATTATGGTGTGTGTGTCAGTGGAATGTGCCATCAGCCACACACACCTAGGCTCACTAGTAAGCGCTAAAAGTTCTTTGGCCGTACAATCACTAAACCCAATTGTGGATAAAACAATTAAAATCTGGAGGCAGTTCAGAAGACACTTTGGCTTAAATATGACCTCGGTCCACGCGCCTATCTGGGGAAATCATAACGTTCCCCCTGCCTTTTTGGATTCTACATTCTCAACTTGGAACAAGAAGGCATTAAATTTGTGTATAACTTGTTCTCTGAAGGCCAGTTAATCTCTTTTCCCAAATTGAGCAAAGCATTTGATCTACAAAGTATTAAAGTAAAATTATTTTAGATACTTACAAATCAAAAACTTTGTTCAGAAAAACTCTTAACTTTTTTCCAAACCATCCAAATTACAATATAGTGGACAATATTTTTGCATTATGCTCTGAGAATTAAAAAGATTAAAGCTGCAAGCAGCATTGGAAGCCCTCGCAGCAAAGCGCCACTCCGGCCTTACGGCGATCGCGGGAGCTCCAGCTAGTCCACCCAGTTGCCATCGTGAACGCTCTTGTTCCAATCCCGTACGCGTTCACCACGGTGCACATTTCCCGAATCTTTTCATCGCCTTTCATCCATGTCGTTACTTGTCCAGCTGCAGGTCTTACAAGTATAGGCGAAATATGACCTTCCAGACAGGAGTTATGGTGACTTCCTGTTTTGTGGGGAATGTTTGACAAGCACTTCCTTTATGCTTTTCAACATGTCATGTGTGGTAATCAACAGTTAGCGAACAAAGTTTCAGTCAAATATCTCACACAGTGCGAAGCTGGAAGTGTCATCCAATAATCAACAGTTTTTTTTCTCTGAGTGGGTGGGGCTTAAGTGATGTCATGAATCAACAATACCAATGTGTCTACAAGTGCTCACTGATGAAACACAAAAACTCAGGTTCAGATTGGATGATGTATCACTGAGATCTAACTGTTAGAATAATGTAGGGGCGCACTGGAGTCAAATGTTAAACAACAATACCAGTGTGTGTAGAAGAGCTCACTAATGACGTATGAAAAATCTGGCCTAGATCGGATGATATTTCACTGAGATATAACTCTTGAAATAATGTAGGGGTGCACTTGAGTCACATGTTAAACCACAATATCAGTGTGTCTACAAGTGCTCACTAATGACATACTCAAAATCTGACGTATATCGGATGATATATCACTGAGATATAACTAATTAAATAATCTAGGGGGCACACTTGAGTCATATGTTAAACCATAATTCAATGTGTCTAGACATGCTCACTGATTTTGCATACAAATTCTGATTCCAATCGGATGATGTATCATTGAGATCTAACAGTTTGAATAATGTAGGGGGCACACTTGAGTCAAATGTTAAATAACAATACCAATGTGCCTAGAAATGCTCACAGATGACGCACCAACAATTTGGTGCGGATAGGATTACGTATCATTGAGATATAACTGTTAGAATAATTTATGAGGCGCACTAGTCATATGTTAAACCACAATATCAATGTGTGTAAAAGTCCTCACTGATGACGTACAATAAATCTGGTGCAGATCAGATGTTGTATCACTGAGCTAAAATTTTAGAAATAATGTAGGTGGCGCAGTGGAGGCTATTGGCCACTTATCATGGATACATGTTCAAGGGGCGGATAATGATAGATCATAGTGATTTTTGGTGCACCTCGGTTGAAATCTGTGCAATATTGAGCCAAACGTATTGCAATGGCGTCACTTCTTAATTTGTCACGCCGCCACGCCCACATACTCAAGCAAAAACGGTTTGCACTTTAAATCAAGTCAGACCATATTATCTGTCTTCTAACACAGGATCATCCTGATTAAGTCAATGGTGTCAAAGAGGGAGCATTCCAAGTTAAAAAAGAGACTTCCTGTTCCGAGGGGGCGGGACTGTGATGACGTCAAAATATGACCACAGTGGATCGTCGGGCATCCAACAGGGATGAGTCATGCCAAGTTTCGTACATTTCGGTCTTTCAATGTGAAAGTTATAGTGCTTGGAAATTCATGGCGTGAAGCAAAACTTTTTGGCCTGGCCACGCCCCTTTAACATATACGAAAACACAAGCTTTAGATAACTTTTACTCTCTAATGTCTTAAGGGCATATCAACCAAATTTGAAGGCAATCCTTCAAAATTCCTAGGAGGAGTTCATTAAAATTTGCAATTAGAATCGCCCAAAAATGACCCTTTGGCCCAACATGGCCGACTTCCTGTTTATTTTGGACCAGGGCTCCAAAAGACTTTTTCATAGGTCCTGATAAGATGCAGATGTTCACCGAGTTTCAGAATTATCGGTCAACAAATGGCTTGGAGCTAAGGTTTTAAAATATTCTAGGGGGCGCTGTGGAGGCTATTGGCCACTTATCATGGCTTGCTGTTCAAGGGGTGGATAATGATCGATCATACTGATTTTGGTGCACCTTGGTTCAAAACTGTGGAAATTAGAGCCAAATGTATGGCGACGGCATTACGTCTTACTTCGCCACGACGCCCACATGCTCCACCCACAACTGTCAGTGTTGGAAAGAAAGTTACACCAACATGTCTTCGGTCACTGGACACACTATCATGCTGATCAGGTAATGGGGTCAGATAGGGATCGTTCAACGTAAAACTTTATACTTCCTGTTGTCAGGGGGCATGGCTTAAGTGATGTCATAATTTGACAATTCAGTTTTGCAGGGGACTGGATGTGGATCAATCACTGAAGCTTTGATGTCTCAGACAGTTTATGTGTAGGAGCTATTAGCGTTTCATTTTTTATCGTGAGATGTAGAACTTTGAGGTCTGGCCCCGCCCCTTTATCATGCTCCGAAACAAACCTTTTAGATAGCTTTGCGTCCCCTATGCGTTTTGACCAAAATGGCCAAAGTTTGAAATGATTGAGCGAAATCCCTAGGAGGAGTTCGTTCAAATGCGGAAGCTGTAAACCGCCAAAAAAGTGTGTAAATTGGGCTGGCTTTCCAAAATGGCCACCTTCCTGTTTATCGCACAATGTTGGTGCCAGAGGGTTTTCTGTGCATCTTGGGGAATTGGACAAGTGTACCATATTTCATGTTTCTACGACAAACTAAGGTTAATGTGGAGGGTATTTTGAAAATTTCTAGGTGGTGCTCTTGAGCTGTTTCGTTGCGATTTTTGCCTTGCCCTTAAAATACGTAATTTTTCACCAGTCCTGATGCGTCCGCCAAATTTGGTGACTTTTGGGATATGTTAAGGCCCACAAAACGCCAATTAATTTGGCGGAAAAAATTGTAGCTCGGGCTTGAACAGAGCAATTACAATAGGCCTTCGCAGCGCTTCACTGCTCAAGCCTAATAACTTCTATACAGTACAACCTACTAAATGATATCAGTCCCTCTTCAACCAATGACATCAGAAGGCGATGGGAGGCTGTAAACCTTTGCCATCTTTGCTTCTCAGCCAACAGAGTAAGTGAAATATATGTTGTGACGTGGCTTTTTATCCACCTGGAGGTGGATACAATCAAGGTTTTTTTTCTTCTCCATCTGAGTATCAACATCGTTCACACTATCACCCATCCCCTAAGTTGCATTATATGATTAGGTTTGTCTGTACTGTCCTCCCCTGTGTGCAGACGAGTTAGTTTTCCTGGTACTCTAGGGTAGTCCTTTTTGTTGGACAGTTGTGGCGTGAATGATCTGGAGCATAGCACTTGAAACAAAGCCTATTTTCTCGGCAATGTGAGAAGGCACTGTGGTTGTCACTTCTACAAATAAGACATGGTTTATCAGTGAAACCATCAATTTTGTCTGCACCATCCACAGGTCGCCTGGGTGGAGCTCACCTTCTCACCTGCAACTGGTCCGAGACTCCATGCATCAGAACCATCTCTAACATAGACATCACCTCTGCCAGGGAGACACACTGTGGACTATGCGTCGTGGGAGGTTCCTGACTGCTGTGAGTAGGAGCCGGCCCACGGTTCACCCTATTCCGTGCAGGGCAATGTTCACTGTCCTCTTACAATGTATTGGGGAAGCTTCTTTGCAGCTCACTTCAGCGTGGATACTCATTCAGTACTTCCAGGACTTTACATGCTGACCATTTGTCGATAGTTTTGGACCTGAAAGTGAGAGCCAGGTCTTTACAGGGACAATTCCTGAAGAACATACGGGTCACCTCCATCTCTGGGTTTTCAAATGATTTTCCCTGCTCTCAGTCAGGGTTAGTCTCAGCCAGTAGTCATATGGGTCTTCTTGGTCTTTGGGCAAGGTTGAGTAGAAGTCAGCTAAGGGGACAGCAGAGTACTTAGTAGAGCTAAAGTGTTTTCTAAGGAGACCATAAATCATGTCAGGATGAGCATTAACATCAGCGTTATTATTTCTAATCCCAAACCTTACTACATCCTTAGCCATTCCCCTCAAATGCATAAGGATTTCATTAGCTTGTTCTTCAATCCCTATATCATTTTTCTTAATGAATGTTCTCATTTGATCTTCCCAGTCATGCAATGTAATTGAGTCTGAGTTGTTACCTACAAAACATTGTGGCTCTTTGACCTTTATCTGCATGACAACTTGGACCTGGGATACGTCAGATACACAACCAGACTTGCTCAAAGTACTCGTTATGGTTTGTGTGTCTGTAGAATTGGAAGCAACGGTGTTATGTGGCTGCATGCGTGACATGATGCTTTCAGCCAACTGATGTCCTATTTCCTGGATAACAGACTTCATATGGGCAGCTGCATACTCAGAACAGCCATTAATAGGATTTGGTGTAAGTGTGACATGAGGCATAAGTGTGCTAGCATGATAGACAACAGGGTTCTGTACCCTGGCACCAGGAATTTCATCTAACGAGGGCATAACACCACTCAGACTATCAACAGTAAAAGGATTGGGAGCAAGTACGCCCCTGCCTCTACCAATACCAATGGGTGTACCTGGCCAAAAATGGTTACTTTGAATAGACTTCGTTCAGAATTTCTCAAAATAAATATACATTCAAAATCCAAAATACCATAGGAAATTAAATCACAAATTTTAAACCAAATAAATCAAAACAACAACAAAAATTCAGTAGAATGTGTGGTACATTACTGCTTTGACACACAAAAGATCTTCCTATCACCGAGACACACTGTACAGCAATATATATATATATATATGTATATATATATATATATACACACACAAGCACTGTGAATTGATGTCTTCAAAAGATCAGGCAGACAAGATGGTCACTGGTTCAGCAAGCTTGATTGAAGTCCATGGCCACGGCACAAATGTAACAGCAGTAAGATTGATTTAAATCCAAGGTCACGGCACCAATGTAACAGTTGTGTAACCCGTCCTGTCATATACACTCTCAGAGGCCAATGGGTTGGATGAGGTAGCACTTTACTGTAAATGGTTCAGAGCATAAACAGCGTGGTCAGCTCTCTACTGGCACAAATATGACAGCAGAGCATTAGGAAAGATTTTCAAATATCTGTTACAATGACTTTTAACAGTATAATTTTTAACATGTGATCGTATAGTGGTTTTAGCATTAATGTTTTACAATAAATCTTATATAATCTGTTTTAATTGGACATCCATTTTTCCAATGAAATTAGAAATTAGAGAAATAAATGCAGACAGAAGTTAAAATTAAATTAAATTATTCTACAACACCTTCTGGTGATTCATAAAAAATATAACAGACACGTTGTGTTGTCATGAGAACCAATAGACATTGTGCAAACGTAACTGACTTAACTCAGAACATTTAGTATAACAATTAATTACCTGTAAACGAGTGGTTCAGAGCATAAACATAGCGTGGTCAGCTCATCTACTGGCACAAATACCTATAAGAAAAATAACATCAGACAAACTGTCTCATAATCTTTTTTTTTTAGAAGAGAACTGGACTGTATGAATTACCACGGCACAGCGTTAGGAAGACTGTGATAAAATGTCAGTTTCATGTCATATTTATAGCCTACCAGTAGTGAGCACCAAAGCCCACTCATTACAGGACAACTATAATACATAGTTTAGCAGGAATTTCATTACAATAATCTAAGTATTTCTTATACACGGTACATATACAG